TTTGTACTAACAGAAAGGTGTGATGCTTTTTTTGAGACAGGGTCTCAGTTGCCCTGGCTGAGCTGGAACTTGGATCCTCCTGCTTCAGTCTCCTGAGTTGATGGGATTACAGGGTTCTGGTAATCCTAGGCTTTTTTTTTTTTTAAAGCCCTTTGTGTTATTTTTATGTGGTGCTGAGAATCTAATGCAGAGCCTTGCCTCTCACTGGGAAGCACTCTATCACTGAGCTACAACCCCAGCCCCAAAACTAGGCTTTTTAATTTAGTGAACCCTTTCTCTTGAAAGAGAAGTGGAGAAAACTCTAAGATGAAGTATAAACAAACTGACTTTCATATTGTCATTCTTAAAACCCTCTGAAATAGAGCAGGTGTTGGTACTTGGAGACAAAGTAGGAAGTGCTTAGAAAATACTGATAAATTCATGTGCATTAATCTTAATCACAATCTCCTGCCTAAAAATAGCCATTTTATCCTCTCTTGTTGGCCTAATTAAAATATGCACATCTCACAGAGTGCTGTCAGTTTTTCATCAATCCGTATTCATCTAGTGCTGTGGATGGTTTGTGGAATTCCATAGCCATTTCTCATGCCCATGATGGACCTAGTTAATTACAGAATTGCTTGGCTGTCCTAGTTGGCCTCAAAAATCTGACCACTCAGTTTGGGGGGCTGGTTGAGGGGGACAGGGGCTGTGTTAATTGTCTTTTTTTTTTTTTTTTGGCACCAGGGACTGAACCCAGGGGCACTTAACCAACCACTGAGCCACATCCCCAGCCCTTTTTATTTTTTATTTTGAGACAGGATCTTGCTAAGTTGCTGAGACGGGCCTTTCACTTATGATCCTCCTACCAAGCCTCTGGGATTATAAGCGTGCACCACCACGCCTGGCCAGATTTATTTCTTCCACCCTGGCAGACCTAACCTCTTGTGTATAGAATGCCTGTAGGAGATCCTATCTCAAAACAAAAGATAAAATATAAAATATTCTGATAGAGTGCTTGCCTAGCATGTGTGAAGCCCTGAGTTGAATACTTATTATGGGAGAAAAAAAAACAAAATAAACTGATTTCTTGAGTGTTTCTCCTTAAGTTCAGGAATTTATGCTGAATTACTATGTCTGACAAGAGATAGATTATTCTTGCCATCTAAAGATTGAAGATTATAAAGACAAAAAGTAAATGGATTTAGTTTGATGCCATGAATATATTTCTTTCTTACTAGTCCATTTTCACAAAGAACTTTAAAAAGGGAATCTTTTTGATGGAAATTATAAGTAAATAATTAACATGTTTTTCTTGCTCCGAAAAGTATGTGTCTTTAAGGTGCTGGATCTGTGTTTTCCAATACATGGTCCTTGAAATTACTAGTGGAATGAGAAACTGAATTTTAATTCATCTTAAAAAATCCATAAGATTTTGCTGGCAAATGTGTTTCATGCTCAAAAAGGCATGAATAGGTCAAAAGTCAGGCTGGAGGTAGAGGCAGATCAAGGGCATGTAAGAGCTCAGTTCTGGTCTAGTGTAAATTTTTTGTTTTGTTTTGTTTTTTTAAAGATACACTTGTATGAACAGAGGCAATCTTCATTCTTTGATTAGACTAAGTCAACTTGTCCAAAAAATTTATGTAGATGTGTTTCATGGAACTTTCTAAATAATTTATGAAAGGGAGATGTTGACCCACTCGGTGGTTCCATGAGTTGGTGACTTTTGGAAGAAAATTTAGTCATATGTAGATGTCCTATTGATGATACTGGTTTGGTTTTAAAATATGAGGCTAAAATGTTAATTCAGAAAAGCCGACACAGTCTATGCTAGGGGGTTTTCCAACATTAATAATCTTATATAATTTAGCTATTAAAGACAGTCTTGGAGAATTGAGAACATATAGTCATTGACCTAGATATGTGACCCTTGGAATTTTATTTTTATTTTTTTTAGGACTCGAAGGAGGATGGAGTTCAAGGTCAGCCTCAGCAACTTAGCCAGGCTGTAAGCAACGCAGAGAGACCCTGTCTCTACATAAAATATTAAGAAGGACTGGTGAAGTGGCTCAGTGGTTAAGTGCCCTGGGTTCAGTCCCTGGTGCCCCCCCCAAAAAAAATAGTTGCTAAGAAAGCATAGTATTGTATAGTAAGATAATAAAGCAAGTAAAATCAGGTTATATGTAACTCATACCTTGTGACCAGAAAAATAGGTCTCTAACCCTGCAGTCAGAACCAGTAGTTGCCAATTATTTTCCCAGTGGCATAAGATACACTTTAAATATTTTTTAGTTTAGCATTTAATTTGCAAGTATTGATGTAGGACCAAGACCTTGGATTGGCCTAGATACTCAATAGCTGCCCCCCAAACTTTTTTTTTTTTTTTTTTTTTTGCAGTGCTTGGGAGTGAACTCAAAGTTCTAACATTGAGATACATTCCCAGCCCAAACCTCCTTTATGAATACATTACAATGGTTTTGAAATTTGATTTGCATTTTTAAGAATTTGAACATAGAGACTTTAGGTTTTTAATGGATTTTACTTTTTCTCCCATTCTTTTCTATACTGGGGATTGAACCCAAGGGCACTTTACCATTGAGCTACATCCCCAGTCCTTTTCTTTATTTTGAGACAGGGTCTCTTTAAGTTGCTTAAGGCCTTGCTAAATTGCTGAGACTAATCTCGAATTTACCATCTTCCTGCTTCAGACTCCCTAGTTGCTGGGATTAAGGGCATACACCATTGCTCCTAGTGTCCATAGTAGTTTTAATAGCCTATCTTCAATTAATCTTTACAGTCTTTTTGATGCATCTTTTTCTGCCATGATAGCATCATTATTTCTCAGTAACTATAAAACAAATAGAATTAGTACCATTGGGTGATGCACCTAATTCTTGGTAAATTAATCCAAGTCAATAAGTGGGGAGGATAGAGAACTAGTTAGTAGTGGCCAAGAATGACCGGACCTAAGATTTTTTTATTTTATTTTTTTGGAACAAGGGATTGAGCTTAGGGATGCTTTCCCACTGAGCCACATCCCCAGCCCTCTTTTAGATTTTATCTAGAGTACTTTTTTACATTTTATCTGGACACAAGACCTTGCTAAATTGCTGAGGCTGGCTTTGAGCTAATGATCCTCCTGCCTCAGCCTTCCAAGCTGCTGGGATTACAGGTGTGTGCCACCACCCCTGGCTTTAAGATATTAAATTCTCATTAACACCAATCCTATAAGAATAATTATTTCTCTTTTCACACAAGGAAACCAATGCACTGAAGGTTGCTTATTAGCACATACCTTATGTGTATCAAGGAATGGAACACCTTGGTTATAATCTTCTGTGCAGTCACCTTTGGAATCAAACCTATGTCTTCTGATACTCACTACATTTCATTAACTGTGGCTGTTTAGCTTCTGATTTTGATACGTAACTACTTAGTATTATTTAAATTTAAAGCTGTCTTACATTTCATTTTATCAAAATTGCTAGTTTTGAACTTGCTACCCTCAAAGAATAGGCATCAGTAATTCCACTAAGACCTTGTCAGCCATCATGTTAGTTTTCAGTGCTTTCTCTGGTTTTGTTACTGTTTTACAACAAGTTATTTGCTTCAAGGAATGATGTCAGTGCAAGCAATAAAGCCGTGTCCAGATCTAGAGTGAAACAATGCTGACTCTCTTGTAAATGATCATTGGCTGTGATGAAGGTGTGTCCCTAGGCAAAGGTGTACTCTTTTATAGTAAGGGAGGTATATTGCCTAAATAGGCATTTTCTTCCTACTCAGCCGTTGGGGGATTTAGGGGGAAGGTAGAAGTTTGAACTACTGACAGTCTGAACTTGTCGTTGGGAAAGGTAAAGTTCCTGTTACCCTACCTCAAGTAGGAGGAGGCATCAGTACTGGCTGTGAACGAAGGAAAGAGCTAGGGAGATAGAACTGCTGTAGTGCATGTCAAAAATATATATATATCAGTACCCACATCGGAGATTAACTTTTGTTTAAATTTACTTGAAAGCAATATTCTGTGATAATTTTGCAACATTATTGTTGTGGTTAAAACATGTTACCTTCATAATATCATTTGACATTGATAAAGATTTTGTCATTCTTTTAAAACTTGAGTGGATTTTGACCTAACCTAGACCACAGATTTCATTTTTAAGACTGGTATGTAATACTATTCCAGGTACTATTAAATAGTTAACATCTAGGATACTTGTCTTGATAATATAGTGGGGGTCTGTTGTTTTGAAGAATTTATATAGTTCAGGCTTAATGGTGTCCTTGATGAGAGTTCTGTAGAGTGTTCCTATAAAAAGCCAGATAAGTATTTTAGACTTTACAGGCTGTATAGTGTAAATATAATTCACCTCTGCTCTTAAAGGATAAATCAGCCAGATTAATATGTACAAGTGAATGAGTGTGACTTGGTTCTAATAAAATTTTACCTATGGACACTGAAATATTTATAAATGTCATCTGTTTTAAAAATAGAAAAACCCTTCTTAGCTCATAAACTGTACCAAACAAAACAGGTGGTGATGGAATTTGCTAATGATGAGCATAAAAATGACAGTTCTATGTACCAAGCATTGATTATACATGCATTTCCCTGTTCCTTTTTCACAGCATCTGTAGTCTTCCAGGTATTCATTACATTTTAACAAGGTGACACATCTATGGTCATATCCTTATATGGAAGAGTAATTAAAGATTTCCTAACTAAAGAATAACTGATAAAACTGCAAACCCCAGTGTGTTCAACTTTAGGATTAGTAAATGAAGTCTTTGCTTGTATCCTTTGTTAGTATCCAAGAATTGGGAAATTTTACTAATTGAATCTAATATTTAAATTATCTCATTAAATACAGAATGGTTTAGTAATGTAGTTATATTGTTGGATTTTTGGTCTTTGGAAACACAAACCTTTTTGGTAGCATAAGGTGTACTCTTAGTAATTTTAAAGACATTTAAGAATGAACTACAACCTTGCAAAGGTTTGAGAATGTTGTTTGTATCCATAGTGCTTCTCAGGCTGGAAATACATGGTCACGGTGGGTCTTGCAGGTGCTGTTGGTGAGTAGCAGTCGGTACCCAGACCAGTGGATTGTCCCAGGAGGAGGAATGGAGCCTGAGGAGGAGCCCGGCGGTGCTGCCGTGAGGGAAGTTTATGAGGAGGTGAGGTGAATGGTCATTTATTCTCCTTTCACACACACTGTACATTGGGATTCTACAGAAGGGTCTTCTGTGTGAGGTGTACAAACAAGGTATTTTGCTCAGCAACACTGAGGAGAAGGCAAGAAGTTAAGCAGGTCCCAGCAGTGCTTTTTCGTTGTTTTCTGATAGAACACCGATAACCATGTGACTGTAGTTAGCATTTTGGTAAACCACGTGTTTTTTTTGTTTGTTTTGTTTTTTTTAACCTGGTAAAATTGAGGTAAAGTCAGTGTGGAAGTTGCTCAGAATCATATTGACATGTAACTTCCTGATTGTCCTGATTACTTGATCAGTGATCAGTGTGTAATATTATGGCCTTGGCAAGGTTAGTATTAACATCGAACAGGAATGCATGGGTCATAAGCTGTAATTCTATCACAAATGAGTAAGAAGCAATTGCTGGGGCTGGGGTTGTGACTCAGCGGTAGAGCGCTCGCCTAGCATGTGTGAGGCCCTGAGTAGAACCTCAGCACCACATATAAATAAATAAATTAAAATTTAAAAAAAGAAGCAATTGCGTTTGTTTTACTACTTTTGTCATCAAGATCAATAAAATATGACACTCCCTCATGTATAAAAAGCACAAGGGGCTTGCTTGTATTCTTTCAGTTGATAGAACTTAACTTACTCGAAGGCAAAACAACAAAGTGAGTAGTGGTGCTGTTATAAATGGGAAGGGAATGCATAAGCCCATTCTTAGGCTTTGTACATAAGGAGAGGTTTCACAGCAGTAGGTTGGTAATAATAGCAATTTCCTGAAGGAAGGACACCTTAAGTAGAGGGAACGGCATGTCCAGTGGTATTCATTTGTAGTATGAAATGGGGAACAACTGAAGTTGCAATAGGTTGGTTACAATGCTAGGAATAAATAATGAGGACTGTGTAATATAAGGGTGCATAGAAGAATCCTAAATCTAAGCCATGGGAAAAGAAGAAAGGGGAAAGATGGATCTTTAAGAAGACGAAGTGTGTATTTACAGAAGTCTGGTTTCATTCATGTTTGACCCAAATTGGTAGAAAATCTAATTTCTATCAATTCTTGCCACTTCTTATAAAACAATAATCTGATCAATAAGGAGTCACATGTAGAAAAAAATGAAGCCATTATTTTATAGCAAACCACAGGACCTGAATCTTGGTATGGCCAAAAAACTTCACAGAAGCAGGAAGATAGTGATTTGGTATGGGAAGGCCCATTCTGTTTAGATTCAAAAATTGAAAGAGACAGAATAACTTATGTAAATTACATTATTATGAAAAGATAAATATTTGCATTTCATCCTTTTTTTTTTTAATAGGCAGGAGTCAAAGGAAAACTAGGAAGACTCCTGGGTATATTTGAGGTGAGTTACAAAAGTAATCCTCACCTTGCTGTTTATAGCATTTATTCCTTTTGAAGATCAGCAAGATAATCTGGCAGCAGTCTGAACCAGACATTCCTCTAATACTATCTGTAGGCAAGGTAGTCATAAGGATTAGAAAAGGAGGAGGTAAGTAAAAGCCACTTCACCTTTTTTTATATACCATCCATTTTTATACAGCATTATTATGGTAGTAATTACCCCCATTGGCAGTATAGTAAAATCAGTGCATTTCCAGTCCTAGATATATGGGATACTAGAAACATGGGGACATTATTTTTTCAAGATAATATTTAAGGGATAGTTCAGTCTTTAAGGTAAAACCATATAATTTTATTTTTATGCTTTTAGGAAATTCAGAATTCCAGTTGTTCAGCACTTGGGAGAATTGATGACTCTCACAAGTATTCAGTAGTTTTTAGAGTAAAGTCCTAAAAGCATAAGCATTCAGACTTTTCAGAATTCAGCACTTGTTTTACCCAGTTTCATAGCACCATCTCCTGGTTAAACTGGAAAAGATTTGTTTTCAGTAATTCAAATATCATAGTTCAAGTGACATTTGTCAATATGGTGACAGGTCTTTGAAGAAAACTCATAAAGCTCAAAATATTGGAAGGTAACAGTATTGTTTTCCAAGTACTATTCAACAGAAAATGTCAATCAATATATCTTTTCCCTTAGAAAATAAAACAGAATCGTTTTGCCCTTTTGCCCCAGTGATTTCAATGAATTTATGAATGTAGTGTAACAGATAAATATTACTTGCTAGGCATAGAAATAAGAAAAACAATTTTAAAAAATAAAGAAAAATAGTACTGGGGATGTGGCTCAGTATTAGAGCAGTTGTCTAGCTTGTGTGAGGCCCTGGGTTTTATCCTCAGCACTGGAAAGTAGCAAATGATGATGATGATGAAGAGAAATAATAGTAATAATAAAAACTAATAAGTGACTTACCATGTGTCTAATTTGCTGTTCATACTCCTTCCCAAAGACACAATAAACTGATTGGATTATTCAGGTTATTTGTGGTAGGAAAAAAATCGGGGCAATTATTTAAAGTCTTAGACTACAGCAAACGACTAAATTTAATTGGAATGAAAGTGAGTCCCTTCATTTTAAATCCACCTTTTATTCAAATTTTTAGAGACAAGACTAGGTGCCAGTTTTAATAAGGACAAAATTGAGTTTCAAGCATAATGATTTTTGGGAGGGGGGAGGTACTGGGTATTGAATTCAGGGGCACTCTACCACTGAGCCACATCCCCAACTCTATTTTGTAAGAGACAGGGTCTCACTGAGTTGCTTAGCACCTTGCTTCTGCTGGCTTTAAACTCATAATCCTGCTGTCTCAGCCTTCCCAGCTGCTGGGATTAGAGGTGTGTGCTGGTTTAAAAGATAGTTTTTAAGAAGGGCATTAACCCAGGTATTCTGAAACCTGGCTGTGTGTATAAAAATATCAACACTTTGGCTTTATCCACAAGTGAATTTTCTCTTAAAACAATTTTCCCCCATTCTGAGTAATCAAGTATAACCAAGTTCAAGAAGCCCCAGTCTGGGTTGGTAGGACTGTGCTTTTCTGTGTATCTGGATAAACTGGAATATTCTATAGGAACTGGTACTTTTTCTCTACATATATCCTGAAGGAAGCAATTTTTCACAGCACTGAATGGTTGTCAGAATTAGCCCCAGGGAATAGGAGCTAGTGTAAAAAGAATATGGTTCTTTTAATATAGGTTCCAAATTATAAGATTTTATTTATGAAAACAATGTTGAATATATGTAAGTCAATGTTAAAAAGTTTACTATTAGGCCACGTGTGGTGTTGCACAACTATAATTCCAGCTGCGGTGGAAGTTCACAAGTTTTCTATGTCAGCATGGGCAACTAAATGAACCCTGTCTCAAGAAGAGGCTGGTGATTAGCTCAGTGGTAGAGCAACTGTGGGTTTAATCTTCAGTACCAAAAAAGAAAAAATTAATATTCGGAGCTAGTTTCATCATTGGTGAAGAAGCTCCAGTTCTCATCTTTTAAACTTTAATTTCTTTAAATAACTTTTGCTAAACTGTACAACTGAGAATAATTGACTGTTGCTTAGTCAGTGCTATGCCAGAACTGTTTATTTTTCCCCTGAAAATACATACTTGGCTTATTCCTGTAGATTAAAATGCTTTTCTTTTTATACTCAAGCAGAACCAAGACCGAAAGCACAGAACATATGTTTATGTTCTTACAGTCACTGAAATATTAGAAGACTGGGAAGATTCTGTTAATATAGGTGAGTTCCTATTCTTTTTGCTCTCTGGTCTTCTGAATTATCTTAAAACTCTTTCCTGAAACATTGTTTAAGCTGTTTCTAAAGAGTTATTTGGGAGGGTGGGGGTAAAGGTCATTGTTAGTAGAGTGCAGCTTGCTATTTAAAATTGACTGTATAGTAACTGTTGTCATACTATTCTCTAGGAAGAAAGAGAGAGTGGTTCAAAGTAGAAGATGCAATCAAAGTTCTCCAGTGTCATAAACCTGTACATGCAGAGTATCTGGAAAAGCTAAAGCTGGGTTGCTCCCCAAGCAATGGAAATTCCACAGTACCTTCCCTTCCAGATAATAATGCCTTGTTTGTGACTGCCGCACAGACCTCGGGGTTGCCATCTAGTGTAAGATAGAGAGTTTGGGGAGGGCCTCCCCGACCATGTGTGATCTCTTGGGGAGAGGCTTCTTCACTTTCCTTGGCAAACATCTGAATGATGCTCGCAACTGTCTGAATTTGCCATGCAGGGATTTCAAACAATTTGCATGTTTTTCAGATGCTTTCAAATCTTCTTTTTAAAAAAAAAGTGTAAAATATTTTTAATAAGCCAAAGCCATGTGGAATTTTTTTAGATGCCTTAACTGTGCCCCCTCATGTTATTTTTGTCATTTTTTTCCACAGCATTTTTTTAGGGTTTTTGTTTTGATCTGTCCATTTGGCATCAGTCTTTTATCAGATCAAATTACTTGTGGGTATGTTCCCCCTAAATTGTTTTCTCATTTGCAGCATTAATATAGTCAACAAATCTTTCTGTGGTGGGAATTAATGGAAAATATTCGTAGTATTAAAGAAATCCATCCATTCCAGAACTTGTTTCATAGGATAAGAATTTAAAATCATAAATTGCACATTTGGACTGTCTCTGTATGGTCCTTAACTGTTCGGGCAAAGGACTTCAATTTGATATTTGGGAAATTTGTCAACTCTTCTCTAAATTTGCATAATTAGTATTATTATGTTGCTGTCAACCTGAAATGGCTATTTTCCCTAAAATTCAATAGTAATTTAACACAAAATATTACTCTATAGTGAGTTGGTGATTTTTACGGAAATACTGTTAGCAAAATGCATGATGTAGTAAATACATCTTATCATGAAGACAGTATTCACGGAATTTATTTAGCATGCTCAGTTGCCAATTCCCTTTGTCATTGATCTCTTACATAGAATATCTTGGAACCATATTTCCCTCAATGTTAATTGCCCTTAAAACATTTTCAGTTTTAATTTAGATTTACCAAAAACCACAGGATTAGAATCTCACCTTCAGGGCCAAGTCAGTGATGGCTGCACCACAGTGAAATACAAAGGCCACCTTGCTGTTCAGCTGCTGTGGGCTTAAGATTGTTAAGGCACCTTCAAATGTCTCATCTTTTTTAGGTTGTCAGTAATTACTATTTGTCATAACTTTTGGGGCACTAAACACACCTGAACTAAAAATTATTTCATCTTACCCTTTATACTCACTTTAAAAATCAGGCATCCCATCTAAAACAAATAAGTACCTGGATTGAAACTCCTGCACTTCCCCCAACAAGGTCAGAAATAAGGGGAGAGGAAAAAAAAACACTTTTGTAAATATTGTAACTGGTGAGTATAAAGTAGAAAAGGTATAGTTAAAATATTTGCTCTCTATATAACTGCTAACCTTTAAAAATATAATTGCTGCTAAAAATAGAGCTCTTATATTTCAGGAAAATTGGTGCCGTTTTGAAAATGAGATCTTGTGCCATTAAAGGCAGCTGAACTAAATATAAACATAGTTCACAAATTAATGCTGTCAACGGAAGGAGTAAAGTAGAAAAACTTAACCAGTGACATTTTATCCTAAATTATGTAGTATAATCAAATGTGATCATCAGAATTTTTATATTTTTCTTTGTACAGAGGTTATGTATTCTGAGTGTTTTTAAAAAAGGAAACATTTTAAATCCCACAGATTTGTGTCAATCACCAATGGACTTAAGATTTTTTTTCTCAGTAATCTCTGAAATTTGTTTAAATTATACACTTAACACAGCAGACAAACTGGATTGTTTTTGTATATAAGACTGCTTCCACCTGAAATGCTGTCAAGAGTACTTGGGGGGTTTATCTTGTACATGATATTCTTAGAGGTAATAATGCATGAACTTATTTTATAAACTCTTGGACTATGTATTTGACATGTAAAAAATGTACAGTATTAATGTCAACCATCTCTTAAAAGTTAGCCTATAAATATTGTTGTATAATTTTCTTTGGTCAGAAACATTTTGGTCTAAGTAGTGCCGTCAGGATTTTCTTCAGTGCCATTTAGCAAAACATCTGTCATTCACCTATGCAACTAGCAAAAATGTGTATAATACTACAGAGTACCTTACAGTTTCACTTTTAAAATTTCTTCACTGTTCTTGTGGAACCTGATCTAGCAAAATTAGAGGAAAGCCCCAAGGAAATTTACTTGAAAAGCCAACATTTCCAGGTTAAATAGTGGAATCCACTACTAAAGATAACCAGTAAAATGTCTACCATCTCAACCCTCCAAAGTTTGCAAGGTGTTGAGGCTGTTAATTGTGCTTATTTGTGGGGTAGTTGAATAAAATTGGGCACTTAATTTTTCGGTTCCTTGTTCCTCATGAAAAAGCAGTTACTGTAAATTTGATTTGCAGACAAAGTAGAATCTGCCCTGCATGTTGTTTTGTAAAGATGACATTTTTCCATCCAAGCACATGCTATCCAATTTCCTGTCTATCACACTATTGTATAAAGAGCAGCAAAAACTGGAGGGGGAAGTAACTGCTGTAAACACTGAATTGCTCTGCATGGTCTTATTTGAGATAATTGGTATAAGAATCTTGACTTTTTTATATTTGGAAACATCAAATAAAAATGAAAACAATCCTTTGTGGTTTTGTTTTGTTTATATGAGCTTTCTGAAGTTTTAGGGTCAGGTAGGTACTTTTTTTAAATTTTGAAATGGGTAAAGTACATGTTTTTGCCTTAATGTGACTACCTAGAAGAAACCTATATCATTTAGGTAGGGATATTTTACTTAAGGATTCAGCTGAAAGAAAAGAGAAGCTCTGCAGTGCTATCTAGGTAATCACTAATTTATTAAAGTATGATTTTAAGAATTAGTTGTAGGTAATTACTGTAGTTGACTGAGGTGGTTTCAACTGTTTCATGTATTTTTCTTCAATATTTACCAATAGCCTCACATACTCAGAATCTGCTCATACAGAAATTTACATTATGGTGGCATAAAGAAAGTGACGTAGCTTATGTAGGTTTCTAAAATCTTTTGAGGCTTTATAGCTTTTTATGTACACTTCAATATAGGTTTTTATTTTTGATACTGGGGACTGAACCCCGGGGTTCTTAACCAGTCACATCTCCAGCCCATTTTTTTAAAAAATATTTTAGAGATAGGGCCTCATTGAGTTGTTGAGGCTGGCTTTGAATTCACCATCCTCCTGCCTTAGCCTCCGAGACACTGGGATTATAAGGTGTGAGCCATCATGCCCAGCTCTATAGCGTAAAAAGCAATAGATGTTTATGAAATGTCATGCAAAGCAAGTGCTCTGCTACTGAGCTACAACCCCATCCCCTCCCTTCTATGTAATACCATCCTGACTGATGCCATTAGCTAAATTCCAGCAAGATGTTTCCCAAAGACGTATCTTAGCAAAATCATTACAGAGCAAATACTCAAAAGGTTCTCTTTTTTTGGTGGGGGTGGGTGGGGGAAGGGGAGCAAGAACAAAGGAGTAATGGTTAACCTATTAGTAGAACTCAGTGCCTGATTCGTGAGAGGCATGTGCTACATACAACCTCAGCCCCGCCCCCCCAAGACACTCTTATAACCTAGTCTTAGAATTCTGTGTCATGAGAATTCTGCCATCTTTTGTTCATGAGAATGTAAATCTGATCCATGTTCCAAAATAATGGTCCCAGCCAGGGACCATGGTGCACACCTATAATCCCAGCGGCTCAGAAAGCTGAGGCAGGAGAATGGTGAATTCAAAGCTAATTTCAGCAAATAGTAAGACAGGCCCTAAGCAACTTAAACTTAGCAAGGGTCTAAATATAACAAAAGGGCTGGGGATGTGGCTCAGTGGTTAAGCACCCGATTCCTTCCTCTGTACCTAAATTTATGGTCATAGATGTATTGCAGAATTTATGAAATTGGTATTAAAAATGGAATTAAATTATGGCAGTCTATTTAATAGATACTATGCAGTTCCCTCCCATAAAGAGGTCCAGCCACATGTCAAGTTCTTAGGAAAGTGCTAACCGAAAAGAAGTCAGCATGTTTTGTGCACATATTTGTTTATATCGGAAAAGTCTAACAAAATTAAAGATCACTTTTTAAAAAGTTGTACGAATTTTAGATTTTCAATAAAAGCTACCTGTTTAGATTCTTAAAAATGTTTTGAGAAATTGTCAATGTGACACACATTTTTTTTTTAATTTGTTGTCTATGAGCCCTTGTTTATTTACATGTGGTGCTGAGAGTCAAACCCAGTGCCTCCCACATGCTAGGCAAGCACTATACCACTGAGCCACAACCCCAGCTTGTGACACATTTTTGATACTGGGACTTGAATCCAACGCCTTGCACAAAAGCAGTAATCACTTCCAGGGGTTCCACATCTTAGTTAATTTTAGTTCAGATCTCAATTTTGCAGCAAGTGGAAACACATCAAAGGCAATTCCTAGACTACTATTCTTAGCCTCAATGATACAGAAAATAATGCAGGAATAAGTGTATAGTTGAGGAAAGAGACAAAGTATGACCAGTTCAATTGGTGGAACTACTGGTGGTACAATCTACTGGTCAAACCCAGCCTACCACCTGTTTCTGTAGTTCACAAACTCAGATATGTGGTTTTTTAAAACATTTTAAGTGGTTGAAAAAAATCCATTGTGAAAAAGTTTTATGAAGAGCCCAGCATTCCCAGCTGTTTACAAATTATCTATGGACGCTTCCTCAATATAATGGCAGAATTGAGACTGAACTGTGGCTCACAGATCCCAAAATATCATGTTTTATTAGTGGGAAAAAAAAGAACTGCAAAAAATTGGTCCTACTCTCCTTTGATTAGTCACAATCCTAACCCTTCTTCCTTTCCAAAACTCAAGGAAAACAGCATCAAGTTCAAATCTGGTGTAACCAGGGCTAAGGCTATAATAGCTCAGTGACAGTGTGCATGAAACATGAGACAGCCCTGGATTCAATCCCTAGAATTGCAAAAGGAAAAGAAAAAAGTTGGTGCGACCATCTTGCTTTTGCCAAGGCTGTCTTGAGTAGCTTATTCCAGAACTTGGTTGGAAGACCTTGCAAACTTGCAAGGTTATACTAAAATGTACGTACTACTTGGATTTACTAATCTAGATCATATTTCAAAAGTATTCCTGTCAGAATATGTCAAGTATGTAGTTACTCTAAATGATAGGCACAGGAGGTTATTCATCTATTCTAAATTTTTAAAACGTTTTTGTACTGTACACAAATGATAGGCAGAGGGAAAATGTTGCAGCTCCTTATGAGCACCATAAAGTTGTACTGACTTAAATTTCAATTGATGCTGTCAGGAGTCAACAGGTCTAGATATTAGGGTAGTTACTATGCACTCCCATCAGAAAAGTTCAGCTTGCTCTGCTTGACATCAAATCTACATCCACATTCACACAGTGAATGTTGCCCCAACATGTACATACGAAATGAGATTAGCTCAAGGAGGCAAAGACGGAGTTGGAGGAAAAAGAGACTAATTTTTCATGTTTAGTTCTACACCTAAGTTAATTTTGTTCAGATACCAGTTTTGCAGCCACTGGGAACTTGCCCAATTGGTGTCATAAAAATATAGCAAAGCCAATTCTTAAGAAAATACTATTCTTAGCCTCAATGATAAAAACAGAAAATAATGCAGGAATTAAGTATATAGTTGAGGAAACAGACAAAGTATGACCAGTTCAATTGGTGAATTAAAGATTTTTATTATATTTATTCAAATTATTACATTCAACATGTTTTTGCTTTGTGTTGTCATATAAACCCTGATAAAACTCCTTAAGATAGGCAGCATGCTAAATGGTAAATGAAATGTTACTCCCAGCCCCAGAATACATTATTTGATGAAATATTACATTATTCTTACATAGATTGATGTATTAGGTGTCCTATTTTTCATTGCGTCTGGATTTGGGGGATAGCTTTTCTAAATAAGGTTGTAATTCTAAACCTTTGCAGTAACAAAAAATGGATATGGCTAGAGTAACCAGAAAACATTCCTAACCATCAAATAGAAAAATAAAGCCAGTTTGTTGTCCCCATGATGCCACTTAGTGCTATTTAGCTGCTTATAATGTCTCATAGACCAGATTTTCTTCCCCACTCTTTTAAGTGCTAAACCATAGCACCACCTGTGGCTTTTACAAACTGATTTGTACTTAATCTTTAAATGCATCTTCTGAAATTTATTTTACAAATATATTCCTGATTTTGGGTAAGCTTGAAGTTCTATAAACATCAGGTCTAAGATCTTTCTAGGTGGACTCTAGAAAGACCAAGGATAACTGCTCCTCTCAGAGTAGAAGCAAATCACAGCAACATAAACTAAAACAAATCAAAAGAAGCAAAGCCCATGTCGACATCTCAGGATTTCACAAAAACCCAAAGTGGCAGAGTGGATTTTCAAAAAGTCATTTATTGATAGGTTCAGATCCTTTGCTTCTCTCCCAGAGTTTTGCATATGTTGTTCCCTCTGCCTTGAATCCGGAAGAGTGGACTCTCCAAATACTTCCCTTCTTGACAGAACTATATCTACTTGTCTGTGTCCCCTCCGTTGTTAGATCATGAGGTCCTCAAAAGGAAATCCCTGTGCCACTCCACCTAATCATCCTCAACCTGTAGCAGGTACATATTAAATATTTTTGTCAAACTGTTTGGCTTGGGCTACAAAGTCAAAGACTTAGAACAGGACTATACAGTTACAGCAGATGGGCTGGGAAGGATTCTAACTTGCAAATGACATGCTCTTCCTTGGAGTGACTGCTACCCAATTCCTCTCAACAGGTGTCAAGCACAAAGGTAGGTCAGCTCCACTAGTGCCAGATCTTCAGATCCTTCAAAAAATAACAAATTCTGGATTTTTCAAGGGAATTTCTGGAGTTTAAAAAAATGGCCAACCACTTGGTGTGGGCCAAGGGAAACAGGTCCATAGGCCATATATAGCTGCCAGTTTTTAACCTTTGCCTAAAGCCTCTCCCAGATCACTAAGTCCCAAGAAATCTTAGTCATACACTGGCTCTTGCTTTCTCCCACTGGTTGAGAAGATAGGTTCTAGCAAAACAACAGGGGTGGGTTGGGGGGGTCTCTTAATCTTACTTTAGACAGGTTTTATATTGCAAAAAATTTAAATCTGGAATTTTATAACTTGAAAATCACTGACACTAGCTAAAACCATGAACAATGCTATCTATAGTTCTTATGCTGGTCTTTAATTACTTGGAAGTCTTACTAAGTTCAATCATTTTCTAGAATGAGACTATTTCATTAGCTGTGGTCCAAGAAGTCCTCAGCCCAAGAATTGTTATAAGTGACAACTGTTGTTAATATTAGAGTTATCAATTTATTCTGAAAAAAATTTTATTCTGAATTTAACATTCATTACCAAGCAATGCATTTATTTGGAAGGATACCAGTTACCAGTCATAGAAAGCTTTTGTATGTTGAAAACGTAATTTTAATAGATAATTCTTCATCTTACATAGGAGCACAATAAAATACACCACATTCTGAAGAAACTCCAGAAATTATGAGAATAAGAGTGAGGAAAATTCAGATGGGGCTACAATATCCATTACCTTAAACTGCAAGAGACAAAAGATTCCAAAGT